CCATGCACTATGACCGCAGGGGAGAGAGGTTAATTCTGCAGAAGAGAGGAAGCCAGGGGTGCCGTGAAGAAATGGTAGGCATGCAGGGCTTTGGGGTATGGGGGGGATCGGGGCAGCAAATGCATCAAAAATAAATTCCTGGAGGAACAACATTTATTTATTTCACAGACATTTGTTCACTACTCAGAATAATGCAGGCACTATGTTGGGTACAAGGACAAAAAGCGAAGAGGTGGCCTAGTATATGCTGTGCTTAGGAGTGTTGAGTAGCTCACTGCAACTTTTGTGTGAGTGCACATTTGTGTGTGGTGTGTATGGGGGCTGAGGGTGCTGAAAGGGGGCTGTAGCCAGATCATGGAGGGTCTAGAATGCCTTAACTTTTTTAGGGGGAAAAGCACAGTCTGTCCTCAAATTCTGGGTCTGTTTCTAGCTTTGACACTTTGGGCGAGTTACCTAAACTTTCCTTTTCAAAGATTTCCTAGTTGGTAAAATGGGCATACCAATGCCTACGCTAGTCATAATGTTTGTAGGTGACCTATTACTGTTTCTAGCTCTTGAAGGCCATTGATGGTTTGGGGAAGGGAAGCAGCTGAATGGATTTGGGTTTTCAAGAGATCCTTATAGAGGCCATGATTGGAAGAATGAATGGGGGTGGGTGGGGTGAGGTGTTGTGATTGAGCAAGGTTATGGGAGACCAGGGCTAAACCAATAGTCTAGGCAAGAGATGGGGGTCCAAACTGAGGCAGGCGGATGGGATGGACAGAAGTAATAGCTATTAAGGTGGCAAAATGAGCTTGCTGACTAACTGGATGTAGGGGGTGAGGGACAGAGAGAACTCTGGAATGACAAGCTTTCTATTGCACAGGGGTTCCACTAACCTGGATCTGTGACACTGGGGGAGGGGCAGCCTACAGGAGGGGGTTTGGAAAGACTGACAGTGGGGCGAGGAGGGGAGGAAGAGGCAGAGTTTCCTGGGAGGTAATGGAAGGAGCAGAACTTCCTAGGAAGGCCAATGTTAGAGAAAACATTGTTCTCTGGGCGTGGGACACAGGGGGTAAGCAGGCACAACACCCCAAAAAAGTCAATTTTAGAATTGCCAGGCAGGCCTGGATATTGGGACTTCCAGTTAAAAGGCTTTGATGAGGGACTTCTTTCTAACTCGTGTCCCATGCAATTGACACTCTTTCTTCTTTTCGGTCCTTCTCAGGTGGACCCAGAGGTAATCTCCAGGACTCTCCCAAAGGCCAACTGCCCATTTAACCTCTAACATCAGTTTCTCATGGAACATACTCAGTGTTTTCAGGTCTAATTCTGAATTGTTTTCAAGTATAGTTGTCTTTATTTTTACTTTTGTGACACTGTCCCTTCCCCGTCCCAATAATAGTGGGACAGAAGAAAGGGAGGAAAATACCCAGCAGTAGTGGAGTTGGGGTGAAATCCAGTCATTGTGTAGGGAAGGCACAGCTATCTTTAGTCCAGACTTCGTCTTTGAGGTTGTCTCCTGATGTCCTACCCAGATGTGTCAGGTGGTTTCCCACAGGTGAGAAGACACAATGACAACTGGAAAACCAAGTTCCTTGCTCAGGCTCCTCTTAATGAGAAGGTAGCAATCACTACCCTTTGGTGTTTAGAGCCGAAGGAAAACCCAAGGCTTGTCTTTAACCTGGAAGGCACCCAGGGCTATATAACTGGGATGATTTCAGCAATGTTTTCAGGAAACTGACTCCTTGCTCCTCCCAGTCCCCTCTACCTCGTTCGTGGGGCCTGGGCGTGCTTTCAAGAGACTGTTTCCTAAAACATTTTCCTGGGCTTTCCCCTCCAGAGTTGCAGAAGGGACTAACATTCAAATAAATAATAAAATCATACAATGTGATTCAATTCAGAGGTGGGCAGTGGCTTGCCCAGAGCTCTGAGCCTGAGACTTGCTCTCTCGCCTTGCTAGAGGGAGATTAGCAAGTGGTGGAGAGGTGTTCAGGACAGACTGAGACCTTCTCCATATTCTCAAGGGGCTTGGGGGGAACTGAAAAGGGAATAATTTTCTCAGTCCACAGTTCTTTGTTGTTAACTTCCGAGGCTCTTCACCGCCTAAGTCAGCATGGGTGCCATGAGGGTCCTCATGTCCCTTTAGGAAGCCTAACTCTGCTACAGTTGGTCATTTATTTTTTTGTATACCTGCCAGATGGTGAGTTCCTTAAGGATAAGAGCTTACTCCTGGTGCCTTCAGTACCATACACAATGCTTGGACACAGTTGGGAGTGTGTAAAGGAACAAAGTGACAGCAAATGCAAACCTCTAGGTGCAGATGACTTAGGGCAAAGCCTCCATTGAGGAGAAGAGAATGCTGGAAGGCCTTGGAGTCAAGAGAAGATTCCAATGCAGGTACCCAAGGCAAACTACCCTGACAAATGATGTTGCCTGCTGAGGTCTCTGTTGAGGGATAGTGCAGTGACAGAGCTGATGCTCCAAAATGAGACAATTCTAGGGTCCATCTAGACCCTCACTGTTCACTAATTATAGGAACTTTGGCCAAATCATTCTTTTGTGGACTTAATCACCTCGTTGTAAAGTGGTGATAATACTTCCTTACAAAGGCTCTTATATTTTAGGATGGAGGTCAGGACTCAGGGGACTGGTAATAAAAAAAAGACTTTGTTATCAGAGGAAATCATTCTACCTATCATCTATCTATCTATCATCTATCTATCTATCTATCTATCTATCTATCTATCTATCTATCTATCATCATCTATCTATCTATCATCTATCTATCTATCATCTATCATCTATCTATCATCTGTCTACCTTATTTATCTATCTATCATCTATCATTTATCTACCTTTATCATCTATCTATCTATCTATCTATCTATCTATCATCTATCTATCATCTATCTATCTATCTATCTATCTATCCTCTATCTTATCTATCTATCATCTATCCATCCATTCATCCATCTTATTAGTTTCAATAAGTGTTTGAGATTATTATTGCTGTTCTTGTGGTTTTGGTAGTAGAGCCCCCAGTACTCACCATGGTTACTAGTACATTGCAAGCACTCAATAGATGTTTATTGGTTGAAAGAGTTACACCAACCTGTGATCTTTTATAGGAAATTATCCCTCCTTTAGTATTCCCTAAGTATATGTCATCACCATCTGCCCAGATGATTAAGCCAAAAGTCTTGATTCCTTGATTTATTGAGCACTTAGTAGGGTCTAGGCAGGGCACCGGGATGAGGAAGGTGGGGCGAGCTTGATAAGCTAGACCCAACCACAGCTCTCCAGGATGTGAGCGAAAAAGGAAGCAGGAGAACCTATCCTTTGTTTAGTTTTCCATTCATCATTAGATGTAGCTTATACGTGGGACATTTTAAGAGTTTTTATACCTGGGCAACAACGTAGAGATACTTATAATCCACAGCCATGTGGATCGAGAAAAAGCTGCCAATACCGTGCAGTGGTTCCTGGGACTAGGATAAGCATAGGCCACGTTTTGGAATTCTCACTCTTCGTGAAAACTAGGAAGAAATACTACTTGTTTTGAATTCTACTAGGACTCTCACTCCCGTCCCGCCTCTCTGTAGATGAGCTAAATGAGCAGGCAGAAGAATTAAAAGGACCCATGGACAGTGATTGGACTACATCTTTTGAGAAGCCAACTTACAGCTGAGCTCGCTCGCTTGCATCTACTGAGAGCGGGCTGTACTTTCTCTATCTCTGTCTATGTCTAAAGAAGAGTTTCAGAAAAGTTCTGCCCCTCTCTGGCTTCATTGTGAGTCAGTAGGCCCCGTGCGTGCGCGTGCGGGTGGCCGGCAGAGTTACGTGGTCAGCCAGCCCCGCGGTGACCGTGGCACGGGTGGGTGTGAAGTGCTATAAAAGGTGCCTTCCTTCGAGACCAGCACACGGGCCTCTCAGGGGCCCTTGGTTTCACCCTTTCCCTCTCTTGTTAAAAAGGGATTATTGTCCAATTAAGCCATTTAATCCCAAGGTAGAGATTCGTGTTTGAAAACAAGATTCACAGCTTTAAAAAAAACGCATCAGTGCAAGTTGAGGTCCGTCCTGCCAAGTTGCCACCTGCCCGGTTCCAGGGTGTTTCCCGGGGCGCCCAGCTCGCCCTCCTTAATTACCCTGCCCCGCACCTCCGGCCCTGCACCTCCTAAAGTGCCCTTCAGCCTGACGGGCCGCACGCCCTCAGAAGTCCTTCTGCTTCTCAAGTGCCGGTCGCCCCTTGGGTCGTCTCCCTTCAGCTGACGGCTCGGTGCCCAGGCTTATGAATAACGGTATTAGGAGCTAATGCCCGTCGGGCGCTTAGTCCGTGCCTGGCCTGGTGCTAAGCACTTTGCGCGCAGTATCTTATTAGACGCCCCACAGGAGGACACCCTGGCCTGGCTCCGTGGGTGTGGGGCATCTGCGGCCATGGGCTCTGTGCTCAGAAGGGCCCTCCTCGTGGTTTAATGCCCTGCTGTGCCATCCTGAAATTCTTACCCACTTCTGAGCAAGGGAGCTGCATTTGCACTTCCCACCAGGCCCTGCAAATTATTTCAGGTCCTGAAAATGCCCAATAACCCATAAATTCTTTTTCTTCTTTTCTGCATGATGCCTAATACCTTGCCGGGGGAGGGACCAGTACATTTCAAATTGTGATGCCAGGAGCCCCTCTGGAAGGCGGGTGCCATTACCTCCTTAAAGAGAAGTTGTCTAAGGGAAAGGAACCACGTCGGGGCTCTTAGCGGGGAAGGCAAAGTATCCGTGAGAATGTGACAAGTCGTTAAACTATAAGCCTCGGTTTTCCCATCTGCAAAGTGGGTGACAGTAATCACACCTAAGCCACAGGCTGTTTCAAGGTTGAGATGAGGTCACAGCTTTGACACATGATACAATGGCATTAGTTATTGTTATGCATTATGGATGCTTAGCAAACCATCCAGTTTTGCTTGTGACGTGGTGTGAGTCACTTGCCCAACTGCATGGTTCCCTTATCCCAGGGGTCTGTCCCCTACCTGTCCCACAGGGCTGGGAAGAGTGTCCGCTCTCTCCACGTGCTGGCCGATCACAGAGGGGTTGCTAGAGCTGATAAGCACCGGGGTGCTGATCTCCACCATGTGGCGCCCCGAGGGAGAATGGACCATCCTGTTGAGGGTGTTCAAGGCCGTCGTGATGGAGAACTGCCCGGGCCCCTTCCTTCTGGACCCAGGGCCCCTTCGGAGGGTGGACGCATTGGTGGCTTTGCCTCTGGAGGGCGAGGGCACCAGGGACAGGCTTTTTGTGCGGGACACCTGGCGGCCTTTGTGCTTCTCCAGCAGGTGTCTGGCGGTGAGGTTTGGCTGAAAAGACCAAAGGTGGGGTGAGAAGTTAGTCTTCCTGGTCTAATATGAGCAGCGAAGTCTTACTCGGGCTAGTCTGAAGCCAGTTCAGATGCCACCAGCTCCCTCGCCAGCCCTTGGTCAGCTTCCACCCTTTATCAGTATGCTCCAGTTCCTTCACCGTATCAGTAAGTTCTCCCAACTCTCTTGCAAAGTGTGTCTACTCTTTCCCTCTTTCCCAAGGTCCAAAGGGTTACAAATAAGCCATGATACTCTTTCCTGATTGGGACCAACTCCTCCCTTACCCTTCCTCCCAGCCACGTCCCAGCCCTTTCCACCTAGTGGACTCCTGCCCGCCTCCTTCAGCCACTTCTCAATGCCCCCCGGTGGCTGCGTGTCCCCGTGGCCCCGTGCTTTCCCACCACAGCAGCTTTCATCCTCTGCTGTAATCACGGGCTTCCCCCTACCCCCCGGACTGTGAGCTTCTCTGCTGCACCCTGCAGTGGAACCTGAGTGAGTGTTCGTGGAAGAATGAGTGGATGAAGTTGCTCAAGTTCATTTATTTGATAAGTGTTTGAGCCGGAATAGAAATCCTTCAGGATCCTGAATCTTTGTGCTCAGACCATCTTTTACTAGTTCCTTTAAATACTTCCATCTTATCACCATTCTCTTTTGCTCTACGCCTCTTAGTGGTGTGCTGGTAAACCAGAAGAACAAACAAGCAAAACCCTGATTTGTAGAGTCTACCAATATCTGTGGTGTAAATATCTACCAGCGGTTTAACAACTGGCTAGCAAGAGTCCTGAAAATATAACAACCAGCTCTTGCAGTCTAGCACCAACTAGTTCTAGCACAACCACTGACTGCATTATATTTTGAGTACCCTCGCGAGTGCAGTTCCTTCAGAAACCTGAAATATGTTAGCAAGACAGGGGTTTGTATCAATAAAATTTTCCAGAACAAGTACTTAAATTTGCATCATTATGATTGTTACCAGTCGCCCTCTAAAACCATGTCTGTCTCATTATAATTTAGAGATTCAACTATAGAGGTAAAAGGGAATATGCCCATCTAAGAACTTTTCAACAACAATGTACAAATGATTACAATGGCCAAGATAGAAGATTTAAAACAGGTGTAGTTTCTGCCTCAAGAGGCTTGTAATATTTTGGAAAAAAGTCATCAAGTAGGGGAGGGAGCATTATAATGTCCACTTTAAAGATAAGAAAGCTGAAGCCCAGAAGGGGTGACTTGTAAGTGGTCAAGCCAGCATGCAATAAGCAAACAAGAAAATATCCGATAGTAATAAGTGTTCTGCTGTGACAGAGAGTAACTGGGGAAGGTGGCTACTTTATCTATCTATCTATCTATCTATCTATCTATCTATCTATCTATCTATCTATCTATC